TGCAGGCAAACACCTCAAAAAAAAACATTTAAAAAAGTGGAAAAAAATTATCCACATCGCTGTTACCGGAAAAAGCATCTTACCAGCCAGCAGTGTCTGGTAGTGACTGTATTAATTTTACCGATGACATGTCTTGAAAACATTAGTAATAAAACGCTCCCTACGCTTGTGGCAAGACCACTTTTAGCTGTAAATCTGAGTAGTCATTTGTGCTTTGAGGTTTCATTCAACTTTCAAAAAGAGTGTACACGAACTAATTACCGGGGCCTTGTCTTACCTTGAATCTCTCTTTTCAACAAGTAAATCGAATCAAGGGTGAGTTAAGAAGTAAAGCAAAACGTGTTTATTTCCTTGATTGAAACAGATAGTTTTTATAAAGTAGACTTGACTGAGAAGTCAAGAAGAGGTAAAAAATCTAATCGTGGGTAAGGGGATATATATTTGTTAGAGAATGTTTCTTACTTTCAGATAACATTTAAGAAACAGAAGCATTGTGATCTTGACCAAATCAGCTACTTCTAGAAACGTCCCTGTTGGTTTCTTAATGTGAATTACCAGAATGAAACTTGATGAAATGTGATAAACTAACAATTCTTTCAGTTTTCCACACAAACTTAAATATACTGATACTGAGTACATCTGCCAAGCTTATTCGTCAAGTAAACATTAGACTAGAGGTGTCGAAAGAAATACTTGTGAGCCAGAAAATGTTGACTTTTTTGATGTCATTTAAGCTTAATGGTGACTGAATATTTGTTTTTTTTTAGAGTTTGTAGTCTGTTTAGATCTTTAGGAAAAGATTATTACCATAGAAACACCCTAAAGGGGTAGGGAGTGTAGTTTTCTGAAAGAGACTTCAAAACAAAAGCTGCATTGTCAACTCCCCTCGACCTCAACTGACGACATAAACGTAAATCAAAGTCAAGAGAAAATGGAGTTGACTAATCAATATTTGTAGCATAGCTCGGAAAATCGTATGTTTTAGAACTTTAGGTCCTAATATAACACCGACAATGTTTAACAGTTCTGAATCAGAATCTCACTAATGACACTTAATTCTGTCAAAAGGATAATTGGTTTATAGTGGCCAGTCTGCCTATTTTTGTCAGCCCGTATCAGGCTAGCTAATGCGTGCTAACTCTGTCACGGCAGAACGATAGCGAAAAGATCCGTCCAACAATTTAGTGTTACTACACTACTGTTGACGTATATACTTTCAAAACAAGCTCTTTGGAAAGCCTTTAAGCTTTTAAAACAGTACACCTAGGGCAACTACATACTCGCAGAAGTTCTGGTGAGGAAAAAGGGTTCTTCAGACAATTTTAAGTGTCTCTACTTACATGCAATTAGCGATGGTAATTATGGTCAAACAATAAAAATCAGTGGGGAATCGTTGATAAAGGCGTTACCTCTTGTCAAAAGAGGATAAGGCTTTTGTTCTGTAAGATTTTGATCTCCAAGCGTGACCTAGAACTTTTTTTGGTTGTGAGGTTATAAAAAGGAGAGAAACAAACGTCGACTGGTTGCTCAGAGTTAGATCACAAAACGAAGTCAATTAACTTGTACTTGGCCTATCTTAGCGCTTGAAAAAAATGGGCTTAAAAAACTAGCCAGTTGTCCCGACTTGATGAACGCTTTGCTCTCAGTTGCACATCTTGTGTAGCTGTAGAATTATTATAACCCATTTTACTGTTATCCTTCTTGTCTTCTTGTCTTGTTATCAGCATCTCGTGAAAAAAGAAAGAAAAAAAGGTTGATGAGAATTGATCGAGAAATGCCAAACCAAGAATGAATTTAGACCCTAACATTCTGCTCCCGGGTACTCTAGCTTTAAAAACTAATGACATTAAGCTTCTTAATCATAACGCCACCACTGAGTGTCATCGTGGCTTATCGTGTAGATGGGTAAGTTTAATTTTCAAGATCGAAGCGGTGGATGGTCGGCTTCGCAGTGTAAATTTTATCTCATAGACCATTTTCATAAATGGCTGCCTTATAAATAATCTTTTGTTTGAATTTAAATTAGCCCTACTAGCCTCGCTTGAGATAATGTATTCTTTTGAATTTTGTACTGGAGAACGAGGCCAGTAGGGCTAATTTAAATTTAAACAAAAGAATATTAATCCGGCAGCCATTATGAAAGTGGTCTATGCAAGCTATCATAATAGGAAATGACTTCAACCGATGAAACGTAGAACAACTAAATCGAAGCAAATAGGATGAAACGGAAAATCCATTAACTACACTAGAAAGAAGAGCACTTAACCAACCAATTATCCATAGTAATACCTGTGTCAGCCATCCCAATAACATAATTTGAAATCATTAGTAATTGAACACCAGCTGGTGGCTAGTCCAGCCGTTAGGCCATGAATACAATGTATCAAGCGCAGTTTTTTTTTTCCTTCACTAGTCACTCAACCTTTAAACACTACACAGTATTGGGCTTAAAGTAAATATTTTATTCGCAAAGTTACAGCTTTGTGCCTTGGTCCCTTAAGCTGTCAACTCAAATCCAAAGGTAAGATACAAGTTTTAAAAGAATACAGCTGATAAGCAAAAAGGACATGCATTAATTTTTCTAAACTAACACTTCATACTAGGGACTATAATTTAGGGCTTGAGAAGGGAGATTGGTTAGAGAGTCTTAATTTGTTAAGTTGTCAAGTTAATAATCCTCTGAAACTGTGAGCATGAATTTACTAGAATGACGATGAATCAATAATAATTATTTCAAACAATGTCTCGTTGATTGTGAATGTAATTATCTGAAATAGAAGTTACCCTTAGCCGGAAAATACCAGCATTGAATAAAAAAGCCCGAAAAAGTAACAAAACTTATTAGGTTGAATTGAACTTTTAGGTGAAAAGAAAAAAGGAAAGCTGTAAGCTTTCTGCTGTAACCAAACCTTTTATCTGGACTAACAGTTATTATAGTAAATAGTTTATGTATGACAGCTAAAAGTAATTCAAAGGTTAAAAGTTGTTTTTTCCAACACCTTTTGACGGTTTTATTGTGTCAAGGGCAATATTCATGCCAGTGAAAAACAGTCGAAAGTCCACGGGAAGTTTCAAAACGTTTGTTTTGATTTGTTCTGATCGTCTGTTCTAAAAACAGACATCCAAAGGTCATGATAATAAATCAGTGTGCATTGAATTTGATGATATCCGGATAACATGATCATTCCGCAACATATTTCACATTTTTAAGGTAATTTTATTTACTCCCTCGGCTTAACAGTTGTAACCAGTATTTATTGCTGTGCATTTATCAACGTTATATGGATAGATGAAAGGAAAGCTTGTTGCATTCCTTTATTTTCATTGTATCTAGTTTAGTTATTTACCACCGATACATTTAGAATTCATTAAAAATTATACGTCCCTTCACTTGTGACAAGATTACTATTAGCTGTAAATCTCAGTAGTCCTTTGTGCTCTGAAGTTCCATTCAACTTTCGAAAAGAGCTCACACTAGATATTGGTGCCAGTGTCGGGCTTTGAGTCAGTGGCCTTTGAGGAATACATCAAGTCGAAAGGTGACTATAAGACTTTTAACCAAAGAATATAACTCTTCGATGGACACTGATGATTTTAGAAAGTAGACTTAACTCAAAAGTTGAAAAGAGGTAAAATGTAAAATTGTGAGTTAGAGAAGATATGTAACACTAGAATGTTCCCGCTAACTTTTCAGGAATCGTTAATCTAACTTAAATGTTGTAAACTTGACCTATTTTTTATAGGTACCTTAAAGTTTACAAATGTCCCTTTTGGTTTCTAAATGTGAATTACCAGAATGAAGATTTTCTTGACCCTACAAAACAAAAATTGTAATCAGTAATCTCATTCAGCTTTCCACGAAAAAAGTCATCTAATGTCATGAAAACTTATTTGTCAGCTCAGTAAACTAAACACTATAGGTGTCGAAAACAAAACGTGAGGCAGAAAATACTGACTTTTTAGATGCCGTTAAAATTTAATGTTTAACATTTGTTCTTTTAGATTTTGCAGTCTGCTTACACCATTGAGAAAACATTATTTCTTTTTCAATGGTGAATTGCAGGCAAGCATTTCGAAAGAAAAAATTACAAAAGTAAAAAAAAAAAAAATCTACATCGCTATGTTACCGGAAAAAGCATCTTACTAGCATCCTACCAGTAGAGTCTGCCGGTAGCGACTGTATTAAGGTGGCTCTATATAGTTTCTTCGGCGCGCGAAGCATGGGTACGAATGGCGCGAGCGCGCGAGTATTTAAAAGAAAAACAAAAATAAACATGGCGGCAAGACTTTTTATCGCGAGTCGCGTTCCACTTACAAACTCCTAAAAACGTGTTTGAAAATACACTTCTTTCGTCTTCTCTTGACGTGGTTAAACTGAGGAGTCAATTCGCAGCATTTATTGCGCCGTNAGTTGGCTAGTAAACAAAGTGAAACTGTCATAACATCTAAGATGTCACTAGCCACTTGGTTAGTAAGTTGAAAAGTTAGTGTCGAGCCCTTAATACCCTAACTGATATTTTTCTTTATTCTCATCACTTGTCTGCTTGACATTGTATTGATATTGTAAGGAGAAATTAAGTGTTGGTCACCCCCCTGGGAGCTGAGGGCTTAAGCAAGGTATCATAAATTTTATGTAGTATGAAGCCATGTTACTGAGTTGTTTATAAAATAAAAACATCCAGAGTGGAAATTTTCACACCATTCAAACAAAGTTTCCTCTTTTTTTCCCCTAAAGCAAAATTAAAGTAAAAGTACATAATACATTTATGAGGTACTGTACTATTGAACTTGACTCATTCAATTTTTTTTTTCAAAACATACACAGAATCAGGCAGTTGCCAAGGAGAAAATATTGGTTGCATTGACACCTGTATCAGTTGCAATCTCAAGCCCTGTACATTGCAAGAGTTGCAAATCAAAGGCTGCATCAGACAACATATGACTAAGTTGATGTTGCAAGTAACTGAAAGCACAAGAGACCATGTTAATCATATTGGTACCTTTGTTGTCAGCTCCACCAAAATATCTTTGCCATGGAACTCTTGGTTTGTAGGCTAAAGACTGGATATAACTACGTGCCTAAAAAATGAAAGGTTAAAAAAAAATGCACTCTCAAAAGACCACTGTGATTCACTATGGCTTGTTCAGGGAAATAATAGGAGATCAACTGCATCGGAAGCCAAGGCTATGAGGAAATTGCTTTACATGCCCAAAAATTAGGTACCCATACAAATAGCCACATGTAAAAAACACATACTCTCACATTGAAACAACAAAGCAAAAGCAATAGCAACAAAAACTAGGAACACTTCTTGTCTACATGTTTAGCTCTATTTAGTACTCTCCCAAGTTTTCAGCACATCAGTTGACATACCTGTAGGCAGTTTTCCTAGCAGGTGATAGAATTTTATTAGAGAACATTTGTTCCATTCAATGCTATCTGATAAACTATCACATGCTTCCAGGCAGTTACTAGCTGTAGCTATCTGTACACAGTAGAAATGTCACAAGTAACAAAATTTAATAACAAACAAGAAAACTCAGTACATGCAGACAAAGTGTGTAATATCGTACCTTATCATTCATAATACACTGCAAATCATCCTGTGATGGTGACCCCAAGACTTCAAGAATGCGGTTCAACTGATCAAGGTCTACACAACTTTTGTCAAGGAAATAACAGTTCTTAGGATATAAGGGCAAGCAAAAGAAGGCAAAATGATTAAAAATAATCATACTACGGCATGCAGCCTTTTGTAGTATTTGTATATATTGTAAGTTTAAGGACCCTTTTTTTAAGGTTAATTGCAACTGAAGCCCTCAGGGATAAAAATGTGGATAGTTGCTCTCAATGTGATCCCCTCTCTAATAAGCCCTATTCATCCTTAGGGCCCACTGCTTGGAAGCTCTTAATCACCAATTGGGGGCCTATTGGGGCTTTAAGGATATAGTAGACCTTTGAGGGCCAATTTTTTTTTTAGTTGTTTGTTTTTTTTTTCATGTTTTATTATTTAAACCACAGTTTATGGCAATAATTTTAGTAAAATATTGAAGTTATTTACTAAAACTTATTTCCAAACTGATTTCGTTATCCCACCAAAAGTGTGAATAGCCAACTAGAACATGTCAACATAAATGACATCCTGATCCTTGAATTTAAATCACCTAGACATCTCCTGATTTTGGTTGCAAATGAAGGTAATTGATATCTCTCTATGTTTAAAACTAAAATGCAAATGGAGAAAGATAAGGGGAAGAGTCCATAGATGAAAGTAAAAAAGAAACCTGGCTGTCAGCACAAAAAGTAAGGAAATTTGACACGGATCAGTTAAATTTTGATCAGCAAATAGCAAAGCAATAAGAATCTTGAAAATGCCCACATCATTATAAAGACCAACCCCTCAGGATTGAAATTCTGCAGTCAGATTTGATATACAATTAATTCACCCAAAGAAATGTTTTCCATTTCGGATTGTCACACCCTATTTGGTTTCTGACTAGATCATGCTAAAACAAAATAATTTTTGGCCAGATTGTGCATTTCATAACCTCCTTTGCATTGATACATGGTTTAAGGTGGTTATGCATTAAATAGCATGTTAATATTTATTTTTGCAAAGGACACCTGTCAAGGTCTACCACATCCTTAGGTTAAGGTCTAAAAGAGAAGGCTGTGGACATGTTTTTAAAAGTGTTCATATTACTGAGTCACTACTCCATAAACAAATGAGTTGGAGCATGTTTCTTGAGACATCCAGTGCTAAAAGGCAGCCCTTTTCTTCTGAACAGCTGATCACTTTCAACATTGTAAAAGGTTTTCAATAACTTTAAGGATACAATGCTTTCCTGGAAACAGAGGGCGATTTGACAACATCTCTGCCAGAATGCAGCCCACAGACCAGATGTCGATAGCCTTGCTGTAGCCTTTGGAGTTCAACATGATCTCAGGCGCTCTGTACCACCTTGTTGCAACATACTCAGTTAAAAAACCAGTGTGATCATGTTCAGGATCAGCTACACGTGCCAGGCCAAAGTCACAGATCTGACAACAACCATGACAAAAACATGTTAATATTTCAGCTGCAGCATTTATCAGTTTGGTAGCCCGATTGTCTGGTTGTGCATAGTTTTAAAAAGGACTGTTGTTCAGGGTTTTTTGTTGTAGCCATTGCACTGAGATCTTTACTTCATTCAGCTATTTACTATATCTGCCAAGATTATTTAATTGAGTGCTTGTGCTTTAGCGGTTATTTTAATGGTTAGGGCTATTTTACCCATAGTATTGAAGACCAAATTAGTTTTTATTTAGTTGCTGACATTTTTTGGCCTTGCAACATTTTTTCATTGTGTTATTGACCACTAGTTCATGACTGATCATTACTTTCATTGTTGCTAGGCCATCATTCATTTTTGCTCCCTTCTTTTTTTAACATTGTCCCTGCTTTTCAAAACTTATGGAAAAAAACCCTGGCTAATTGGCAATTGAAAGTTGGAGGCAATTTGTTGACCTGTGAGGACATTGTCATCAGGGTCAAAATAAATATTCCTGATCCAGGCGGTGTGTGCACTCTGATTGCGTTGCATCGTGATCACACAACAAAAATTTAGTCGTTTGCATCTTGACGCGTTAGAGTGAACTTCTTTGGTGGCAGCGAGATAGTGTGAATATATGTAGATTGTAATGGGATTCACTGTCTGTTGCCTTTTCTTTC